TGCCCCATCCCTGGCAGTGTTCAAGGCCAGGTTGGATGGGGCTTTGGGCAACATGGTCTAGTGGAGGGTGTCCCTGCCCACAGCAGGGCGGTTGGAACTAGATGATCTTTGAGGACCCTTCCAACCCAAACCATTCTATGATTCAATAAATATCTCAGTTTCTTTTCTTTGAACAGCAAAGTAATGTGTTTGATGTGATCACATGTAGTACTGGAAAGGACTGTGCTTAGCGTGAAGTCTACCACTACACTTGACACCTAAGGATTATATCTGTTTCAAAGCCTCTGGAAAGTGAAGACAGGAGCAGTGATTGTTTGAACTGTAGAGTAAACTTGGCAATGTCAACTAGGGCACTTGAATCTTCTTGATTCCCCCTGAGTGCAGGGCCCCATGCATGCTGGGAGTTACGCAAGGGGCAAGAGTTGGACAGGTGGAGATCACTGGGGAGCTAAAATTTGAATTTATAGTCAGTGTTCAGACCAGTTATGGAGTTACATGAGCAGCTGGTATCCTCGTGCAGTTTGGTAGGCTGAAATGGAGGACAGGACTCTGATGGCTAAGGAAAATATTTGAGGATGTGAATTTACAATAATTTGAACAGTTCAAGGTTGCAGCTGTGGTGTAGCCACCTGGTTAGCAGTTGCAGTCCCTTTGTTTCCTCCCTTTTACCTTGTGTTGGTACTAGAGCTTCTCTTCCCTCCCGGAGTGTACAGGGAGCTGTACCAAAGACTAACCTTTCTGAAAATATAAAACCAATCAAATCATTTAGCTTCCTGAACAGGCTGTTTCTGGGACAAACAGATGCCAACATAAGAGAGAGGAGTGCATGAAGAGGGAGAAAGAGGACAGAAAAGATGATGCTTGGGACTGCTGTGGCAGAAAACTGTTCTGAGACATGCTTCTGTTCCTTGAGCCTATTTAGCCTTTACTCTTACAGACTTGGGATACAGGGGACTGCTCTGGATAACAATATATTGAGACCAGTCTCAAGATGTGTTTTTGGGTTTAAAAAAAAAAAGAAGTTTTTATTAATTCTCCTTCAGGTAAACCTGACATTAGCTGTAAATTTGAATAGTTGAAGCTTCAAGTTTTAAACATTTCCAGTAATTAATTTCTTTTTACAGAATATTCTTGTCTTTTCAAGTTTACGGTGCCGTAGTTAGTAAATGCTACTGTCCTTTGAAAACCAGTGCGATATTTGAATGTCTTATTTTCATAATATATTTGTGACTAAGAAATGATAAAAGAACTCTGAACCTTATAACTGTTAGCCAGCACTTAGATTTGTATTTTTATTTCTTTACAGGATTTGGAGTTTCATGGAGTAATGAGATTCTACTTTCAAGACAAAGCAGCTGGAAATTTTGCAACAAAATGTATCCGTGTCTCTAGTACTGCCACAACTCAAGATGTGATAGAAACTCTTGCAGAGAAGTTTCGACCAGACATGCGAATGTTGTCGTCCCCTAAATACTCACTTTATGAAGTGCATGTCAGTGGAGGTTAGTATTTATTCACAAAGTCTTTCCTGCATCCACACCGCCTTCCTATCCAACCCATAGCCGAAATATCTTTAGGTTTGCCCCCAGCTTCTGAAGCACATAAGACTTGGGTTTTTTGTTCCTACGTACATTGCTACTAATTGTTATGTGGGGGGTGGTATTTCAAAACGTAAGTACACGTATCAGGCCTGCAGTTTATCAAGTTTTGATGATGATCTATTAAATGCTGTACTTGACATAAAGTTTATTTGTTGACATGTGTGAGAGACTTGCTATTTTTAGGACTAGTAGGTAAATACTAAATTTATAACGGGAGGAGTGTTAAATTGGAGCACTTAAGAGTACATCCTCAGTTCTTTGATGTTGTGGGCTGTTGATAGGTAGCCTTATAAGGCATGTTCCTTTACTGCTAAACTGGGGGAAGTTCAACATAGTATTATTTGAAGCCACTATGTTTCTTAAACAGATCCTTTAATGTTACCTGTGAACTGTCAAATGTCAAGTAGCCTTTTGATGCTGCTAGCGTTTTTGTCTCTCCACCCCAGTAGAAAGCTTCAGGTTGGAAGGCTGTAGAGTGGGTGGTGGTGGTGGTGGCGGCGGCGGCGACAGGAATAGGAGAGACTAGCTTTTTTTTGTGCTTTTTTCTTTTTTGTACTTCGGAAGCTTATACAAGTGGTTTAACTACCTTAAATTCTGCTTTTGAAAGACTGAAAATAATTTAATTTGAGATAGAGAATGGAAATTTACTGGGATATGTGTCACTTTTCATGGTATATGAATGATAACTTGACGTGAATTATATGGGATTAGGGAAAAGTGCATGTGTCATCAGTAATTTAAGCAATGAATAGTATGTGTTTTTTCTGCTTTTTTTAAATCTTTTAACCCTGTACCTGTAGTTGAAATGAAATGGTTTCCTTTGCAGAGCAAGTTCCTGATGTTTAAAACATGGCTTATAAGAGGCACGTCATTCAGTAGGAGTGTTTCTCATTAAATAAAACGCAAAGACAGCATTGACATGCATATGTACTGTCTTCTACTTCTAGAAGGGAGATCAAATGGCAAAACTTAAAGTTTTTTTTAACCTCTCTCTCAGATTTTTTTCCATACTTAGAATATATATAAAATACACTAAATGAAATTTTGTCTAGTATGTGTGCCTAATGGATTTTTTTTTTTATTCATTTCATAGTCTGGTTTATTATTGTGCAATCTTTCCAGAATAGTAGTTCTTGGACCACAATTAGACTGGTTGAATTTAAAATAAGGAAAATTAGTATTTGGAAGTTTAATGAAGTTATAAAGCTTGAAACGTTATAACTGTATGGATAACTTTTCCTCCTGAGTGATAATCTTGTTCCCAGACTTCAGTTCTGACAAAGGAGATATGCAAGACTACTTTATGTGGACCTTTAGCTCATGTAGATAGAGAGGCAATACACTTAGTCTGGTTGCTGAAAAGAGGACATAACATTTCTACCTCCCCAGGCTTTCTATCCCTATACTTAACATGGAAACATCAACTGATGTGTACTGTTCAGCAAAACTTTTGTTTTTTTAAGTGCATAACTTGTTTCTAAATATATTTGTTCTTGAGGTGCCAAGTAACTGTTAATGCCTTTCATTTTTTTGAAGAAGAAAGAAGATTAGATGTAGATGAGAAGCCTCTTGTTGTACAGTTAAACTGGAACAAAGATGATCGAGAGGGAAGATTTGTTCTCAAGAATGAAAATGATACGCTTCCTCCAAAGGTGAGTCTTTAAGGAGCAGTATGCTAGTAGTAACAGCAATTTTGAAATGTGTGGGACTTGCTTGTATAGCAAAACATAATTTCTACTTTTCTAATTCCTAAAAACAACTGCTGATGATCACCTTTGATATCCGGAGCAAGTCTTTTTAAATACTTAAAATGTATCTTCGCAACACAGCATTTTTGTGATCTTTCAGGTGGCTTGTGATGCTTTGATCTATGAAGCTGTCTAGTACTGCAGCATGTAATGCCCAGAGAACTTAGCTTGCTTTGTTCTGATATGATGAATTAAAAATTTCTTCAAATAGTATATGATACCAAACATCTAGGAGGTAATCCTACCCCTTTCAGAGCCCTTAAAAGAGGATGCCAGAGGGAGTTGAATAACTAAAAATTGTTACCTCCCTAGGTAACATTCTATTTCTTAACAAAATTGATGGGAGTCTGTTTCCTTTTGGGGAGGCTTTTTTTTTTCTTCTTCTTCTTCCAAATGCAAAATGAGGGACACGCGAACATCAACTATACAAAAGCTCTTTTTCTATTAGTTATTTAAACATTAAATTGGATCAGACTTTGGCTTCTGAAGTCATATCTAACTTAGATGCTTATAGCTATGGAAAACATGCTGTTCAGTGTGGGCTATCTTCAGACAAGCTTTTCATCTTGAGTACTAAATTTCTTTTGCTCTTGGAATTAGAGCTTGTTAATTTTAAAGGTGCTTTGGGTATAGGTACGTGAGCTATGCTTACACTACGTTTTTGACTACAGGATACATCCATGCTAGAGGTAGGGAAAGAAGATTAATGATGTCTTGCACTACATCTACCAGACTTGCTATTCCTATTTGTTGAATTAAGTAACCTTCAATCTTCCTTCTCTTCCTAATAGAAGCAAAAAACCCTGCATCTTTCTCTCATCTTCTATTATTTTCTCTACTGAAGGCAAATGAGCCTAGAATTATAGGTATCTTGTGTATACAAGGGGCAGGAATTGGAGAAGAGAACACTGGAAGGACAACTCTGAAAAATACACCATAGGAGAAATTTCCTTTATAATATTTTTCCTTCTGCAGTTTATTCTTATCCAATGTTCCAACACAGTTGTCTTGAAAACAGATTAAATGCAGTGTTTTGTGAAGTATTTGTACTGGGAGGCAGAAATTTGTTTTGCAGCCCTCAGTTAATCTTTGAGGCCAAGTAGATAGTAGGCATTATTCCAGTAAAATTTTGCTGTTTCTTTGCTTTCTTGAGTACAAGGTGCTTTATCAGTTCATACCTGCTTTGGAATATGAAATTATTTTTGCCTTCTGTGTTGTTTTGGAGAGTTTTAGTGCCATCCCTCTGTAATGCAGTATTGTTGCCTGGAGTATTGTTTTTGTGTTAGTGATACTATGTCTTAATCGGGTTTATCTGGAAAGTTAAAACCAATACTAACCTTTTTCCTTGGACTAAAAATGATGCAAGTTGTTTTGAATTCATTTATTTCAGAAGGCTCAGAGTAATGGCCCTGAAAAACAAGAAAAAGAGGGAGTAATTCAGAATTTCAAACGAACTCTCTCAAAAAAAGAAAAAAAAGAAAAAAAGAGGCGTGAAAAAGAGGCATTGCGACAAGCATCTGATAAAGATGATAGACTACTTCATGGGGATGATATGTAAGTTGTTAAACTTTGATCAGTTCATATAACCTACATCTTATTTTAAAGGATACCCCCTCTCTACCAAGTAAGTTATTGTTTCTTTCAAAAGTAAGTAGCTGACATGGATGCAATATCATCATAAACCAAAATATGTGATGGCAATTTCTGTGGTTTGTATGTACATTTTGCCACAAGGTTTGTTTTTAAACCAATAAAAAAGCTTTTTTTTCCACCTCTTTGTGCTTGTACAGAAATCAACACGTGCTTGGTGACAAGGACTTTCCACACTATTTTTATTTTTGAACATTTACTCGAGTGGGTTTATTGCTCTCCCTATATTTGATTGTTCTGTCTTTTGCCAGAAAAATTAGTATGTGTAGGTGTTTTGCATTTGACTTACCACCTGACTATCAGTTTGTTTTTCTCTGAGATGTATTTTGGTAGCCAGTCTTCTAGGTTCAACTCTTGCTCCCAAATCTGCTGCACCTTATTCATTGAGACAGAGCAGGACATATGTTAATCCTCGTACAGAAAACTGGAGCACAAGAGTCAGGCATGAATAACTGTGTGTAGAACAAGAAAGCTGAGGAACATCTACATTAATTTAAACTTTGTCTCGGTACCGGATTCTGTAGGTTTCATATGTAATACACCAGAAAAAAAAATCAATAATGGTGGATACCCAGAAAGAAACTGAATGATGAAAACTTATTGATGACAGATTCTCAGAGATGAAAGAAATTAGATGACCGGTTGACATATAATAAAGGCTTTAGCTGCTCAGCTCGGGTTTTTTCCCTTTTTTTTTTTTTTTTTTTTTTAGTTCATGATTGTTTTTCATATGTGTAGTGCTGCTGTGCACGGATATGTTTACAATGTTCTTCAGATGTCAGTGTGATCATTCCAGTATTCTGTGCCGTTCCTTAGCTTGATCTTAATTTTTTTTTTTAAATTAAAATATTATATTTAGGTGCGTTAGAAAAAGCATGAGCTACAAGCACGTGCTGACTCTGCTTCCACGTGATTTGCAATATTGTAAATCAGAATAAAATTAGGGTGTAATGTAAAGTTTCTTTAATGGTGTTGTCTGTCCGTTGTCCGTCCGTGTGTGTCGCCCCTGTGTTGTTGTGTCCTGTCGTCCCCCCCCCTCAAAAAAAAGGTAGTAGAGAGCCTTTTGTCCTTGAAAACTAGCAACCATCAATACTTAAACTGGTTGTTGTCTGTTTCAGGCAAGCATGGATACATGAACAGTGTTAATTGTAGCAAAACTGAAGTTCACATAGAAAACATCTTACAATAACTTAATTGATCTCCTATGTGTATGGATACTACTTGCCTTTTATCCTTTATGAAGTGATGAGGATATATGTATTTTAAGCTATTAATGAAATTTTTTTCCTTTTTATTTAAACTAACTTGGCAGTGAGAATTCTCGCCTTGCAGCTGAGGTTTACAAAGATATGCCAGAGACCAGCTTCACTCGCACAATATCTAATCCCGAGGTGGTTATGAAACGGCGGCGACAGCAAAAACTAGAGAAGAGAATGCAGGAATTTCGCAGTTCTGATGGCAGACCAGACTCAGGTACTTAAATTTCTTCTGGTTAAGTTGTAAACAGTAAACTCTTTACTGAGAGTGCATTTTTAAGGCCAGCAGCTCCTGTAAGTTTGACTTGGCTTCTGTTTTCTCCAATATTTTTTGTACTTCATGGCTAATTTGTCTATGATGTAACTGAATGAAGGATTCGTGGAGGTAAGATTCCACAGGAGCATATTCTGTGATGAGTAAGTCAAAGCTTTCAGCGATGGGCAAATTGATTGGAGAGAATATGCTCATTGATCTTGCTAACAGTGCTAAACTGGGAAAGAAGGAAGGACAGAATTAAACTTATTAAGCTGACAAACTGAGGATGTCATGAAATAATGTCACCCATTTTACTAAGAACAAGCTGAATGACCTGAATGTAAAAATGCAATCAGTAGCACAAATACAAGGTGGTAAGGAGTGTTTGTTCAGGTCTGCACAAAGAGTTCTGGTAGATCTTATGAATATCACCGATCAAGTATTTCACATTCTTGGGGGTGGGGATAAAGATCACAGCAGCTGTATAAGCATCAGTGTTACATGAATGAACGAAGCAATGTTAGTACTAATAAAATATCAAGTGATGTATTCTGTCCATGGAAGAGTAGTGAAGGAGTTAGAGGTGTAGAAAACATCACCTGTGTGGGAAATCTTAGATGGCTTTTTAAAAGAGGGGAGGTTTTTGAAAGTCAGTGCAAACTTGCTGTCAGGATTGCAAAGCTCGGTTCTTCATCCAGTTGTTGTCACTGTTTCATTTTACCTTCAGGAAATATTAAGAATGGTGGGCTTACTTAGAGAAATTAGGAGAGCATCACTGAAGACTTTTACCAGTGACAGAGACAAATTTATTTCAGGGGTGTTACGTAACTTTTCCCATATTAGTGGATTGACTAAATGATTTCTGAAAGGGTTCATTCCTGTATTCTGTTGGAAATAAAATAAATGGCTGCATGTCTGTCTTTTTATTCTCTGGTAGCATTGTTAATTAAATTTTGTTTCCAAGGTGGGACGCTGAGAATTTATGCAGACAGTTTAAAACCAAATATACCGTACAAGACAATCCTGCTGTCCACTACAGATACTGCAGACTTTGCGGTTGTTGAAGCACTGGAAAAATACGGACTGGAGAAGGAAAATCCGAAGGATTATTGTATTGCTCGTGTAAGTGAAGTTATTAAGTCAGTCTTCTCACGCTTTATGTTTGATTTTTGTTCCTTGCAGTACCTTTAAAACTAAATGCAAAGGCTCTGGTAGTCCTGTGACTTTTTTTTTTTTTTTTTTTTTTAATCTAACAGCCTCAGGAATTCTGAAGTGATTTGTCAGGTTTTTTGTTTTTAAAACCTAAATGCTTCCAGTCTTACTAAATTATTACTTGCTACATAGATAACCACAAATAATGAAAGTAACACACTTCTGTATTTGGCACCATGGTTTTATACTGCTAAGCATGCTTCTGGTTCGCAGATGTATAAACTAATAGCTAATCCTGCGGATACCTAAATTTGTGCTGTTTGTACACAAAACTATTCCCCTGAACTAAGAGTGTCTGCTCAGAGGCAAAAGTGTTGAGGCCAAACGCGATTTTAAAAGGCATATGTTATATGCTGTTGCATATGTTATATGTGTTTCAGTGGTAGCTTACCCTCATTATACATCAGAAAAGATTAAACATTTAAGTGAAACTTACGTATTTTTCAGAATTTAATTACTGTAGGAGTTCTAAATTAATTGTATAGAATTGCTGTTTCTTACAGGTATGGCTTTATCAAAAATTCCTATGGGCAGTACTGATTAAAGGTTTCTTATTACTGATTAACTTCTGTCCATATCATCTTCTGAAGGAGAATAGCAAGATTTGAAAACATTTGATCCTTGTTTGAGTCCAGTCTTTGATTACATTTCTGGCTATTACTTGTCTAATAAACTTGGATTTATTGCTCCTTAAAAAGAGAGAGAGGGAAAAATGTTTGTGTCTCATCATATTGTCCTTTCTTCCCCTGCCCCTTCTCCAGTGCTTAAAGCGCCACTGGAAAACAGTAAGGAAGCTTATATTGAATACTTTGCTATTTCCTGCACTTTCTAGATACTCTAAAGGATGTGGATATATCTTTGGTCTTAAAGTTGCTTTCCAATTTGTTTTTTATGATAACTTTGAGTAACCTTAGTGTCTACTTTTGCTGTGCCTACAGCCTCTAGTGGTATAATTTGCTGGGAGTTGACATGTTGCTCTAATGTGGTTCTAATTAGTAATAAGGAAACTGGACAGTGGTAGTGGTTTTGTAGTTTCATAACAGTGAACTAATCTTAGTTTTTATTGTTTCAACAGTTTTGTCTTAGTTCTAGACATATTTTTAATGAAGTTCTGGACATCTTATCCTTGTTTTCGTTAACCTGTAATTGGGGGTCTCAACTGTGAAAGTTAATTTTGCTTAACTTCAGTAAAATTTTACGTAGATTTTTATTATGGATGGGAATAATATTCTAAGTAACAGTTGTGGGTTTTAATGACACAGTATACTAAAAATTGATTCCCAGTTTTGGCTACAAAGTATTTTCTATGTGTGGCTTTAATTATGACAATTGCCTTCATATTATGGGTTCTATAAATGAAATTCATGATTCTCAGTCATTGATTTTATTAATCAGTGCTGACTTGACATGCTTGTTTTTCTGCTGGTTTGAGAGAATTGTAGGCTACAGCAGAGGTATTGTGACTGAATTTGGAAGACAGTGTTAGTTCAGAGTTAGGGGATATTATGATGTATTAAGAAATATTTATATTTTAGGGAATTTATTGAGCACTTACCAGGGAAACTATTACAAGTCATTGTTCAGGTGGTGGTGTTCTCTACTGCCTCCCCTTGTTCTCTGATCTTGTGTGAGGATGTTTAATGTAGAAAATAGTCTGAGGAATGTTGCTTTGATCTTGGGAAAGATTAACAAAGTCTTTGCTGTGAAGCAGATTGATTTAAATTAGTCTTCTGGAAAGCACTTCTAGAAAACATTTTGTCTTTTCTGAGCAACACATCTTCTTGATATAGTAAGTTTCTATACTGACATAAGTTGTATGCTTATGTTAACATTTGAAATATGTGGGTAGTCTTCATTGCCTAATAGCAGATATTTTTTATACCTTTAAGTGTAGAAGACCTTACTGTTTTGCTCACCGTAAGTCATTGTAGTTGGCTAAAATCTACTTGGCCTTTCTAATGCCTCTGTGGATATAGTGCTTGGGTTTTAAATATGATAATCCTTCCTTTTTTAATAAAGTTGAGAATTTTTAACCTAAGTTTAAAATCTACTATTTGCCAAATATTTTATCAAGTTACTTTCCTTGCTTGAAACATTAAAATATCCTAACTTTAGCTTGATGTGTCTTTTATCATAGTTTTGTTTTCTTGGAATCTTACAATTACAGTGCTAAATAGGTGTCACGGCCATTGGTACTCCTTTACACTGAAGTCTCGTAGCTGTTATTTACCTCTGGTGGGGCTTTTGCCCGTGTTGTTCTGACATTTTACAGTGTTCTGTGGAAGACAAATCTGTCTTGCACATGTTCCTATTCTTTACTTTTTTGTTGACTTTAAAACAGTGTATAGTGGAACAGGTAACTTCAGTTTCTTATTGGTTGGAATTTTTAAATGTTTTGTTCACTTTGGGTGACAGGTGAAGTGTCTTCAAAGAAGACTTAAGCAGTTGATATTTACTTAAATATTAAGATGGAGTTTAAGTTATATGACAAGAACTGTATAAGGCTGCATAAGTAGCTGTAATAAGGTTCACACGCTTCTGAAGTTTCACTTGAAAGATGAACACTGTAAGAATTTTTCTTAACACTTAGAGCTGACAACTTTTTATTGTAAATGGCAGTTTCCGGTTACTTGCTTGTGTTCATACCCTGGTTTGTGGTGTATCGAGCTGTACCTTCATGCCCACTTCTGAAGTACTTCTCTATGTAATCAAGTAAAGACAAGTTTGTTCCAATATGCATTTTGTTTATTTCAGTTTGCTTGGTTTGAGTTTCCCTGAATAATACGGGGTTCACTACACATCTCTCAAGATGTCAAATTAATTAGTCTTCCAAGCTACCTGTGCATATTCACTTAGGGCATAAGACTTGAGGCACGCAGCATACCACTTAACTCTTAAGAGTAGAATCTTGATTAGACTTTTGTTTTAGCATGTTCTTATTTTTTACTCAGATAAGGCATAAATAACTTTTTATAATGTCAAGCAAAACCGTGCAGTTCATGGTAATTAGTTTTGGGTCGCTTTTAAGAAGTAAACATTACAGACATGAGCCATTAAATATTTTTTAGTGAGTACCATTGGTTTTGGTTTCTTTTTCAGGGGCATGTGCAGAATCTGTGTTCCTACCTTGTAGGGAA